AAAAAAAAAAAAAAAAAAAAAAAAAAAAAAAAAAAAAAAAAAAAAAAAAAAAAAAAAAAAAAAAAAAAAAAAAAAAAAAAAAAAAAAATCAACGGAAAAGTAAAGATCGACTAAAATTCACAGAAGATTCACAAAAGAAAGGCTTTCGATTGAATGCCGAGAGGAAAAAGATACAGTTCAGACGGAATAGAGCTTCAAATTTCGAGTTCTGAGGTAGGGAAAATGAAAATATCGGAATGCGGATGTAAAGGCAAATGCACGAAGCTAATCAGCATAGTCAATCAAACACGAAAGAAAAAGGAAACGATACGGAAAGGAAGGAAGTGTATTCTTCACTTTCCTTCATCACCCGGAAGTCAAAGAAACAGTAAATTAAAACTGACCACTAGACGCCATCGAGTCCACTGACTCAAAGCTATCGATCAGTAATCTCGCAGAATCTAAAGCAAGAAGTAGTAGAGAAAGTAACAATTTCAAAATTCGCAGAAGAGAGGAGAAGTACCAGCGACGAAGGTGAAGATCCGAGCTTAGCTTGAAGAGAGGAAGAGAAAAGTTGGAAACCGCAAAAATGGAAATGGTGGTGCTTTTAAACCGCCAAGAAAGCGTTGGGGAAAAAAAGGGAATCCAAACGTTTTCTTCTCTGCCTTTTGTTACTCAGTTTATATGCGTTTGAAATCCGGCAGAGAAATACACGTGGATTTTATTAGCGGCTTTACCGTTTGACGGCCTCGTGACGCTACTATTTTAACGGCCTTGTGACGGTTGCCCGCCGTCTGCTTACATATGAAAGTCTTTCACTAATATGGTTTTAACATCGAAGGAAAGAAAAGTCAACCTGTTTATATAATTGGATTAGTCCCGTTCAATGAGATCACACGTCGATTGGAGAAGATAACTAAATATTCCGCCGAGAGGATAACTAAACATTTAGGGTGAAAACCTCTCACAAACAGACTTGTTTTAAAAACTTTAAAGAAAAAATCCAAATAGGACAACTAGCAATGGGTTTGAACTAAACATTTCGGATGGAAATCTCTCCCAAGTAAACTCGTTTTAAAAATCACCCTCTCCCAAGCAGACTCATTTTAAAAATCTTGAGAGAAAGTCCAAATAGGATAACATCGGCTAGCGATGAGTTTAAACTAAACATTCAGTGTGGAAAGATAGGTTTAAACTAAACCTTTCGGGTGGAAACCTCTCCCAAACAAACTCATTTTAAAAACCTTGATAGAAAGTCCAAATAGGACAACATCTGCTGGCGATGGGTTTAAATTAAACATTCAGGGTGAAAAGATGGGTTTAAACTAAACATTCTGTGTGGAAATCTCTCCCAAGCAGACTCATTTTTAAAACGTTCATAGAAAGTCTAAATAGGACAATATCTACACACGATGAGGATGGGTTTGGGCTGTTATATGCTCTTTTGCTCTAATAATATCTCAGAGTTACTAGCCTCTTTCTTTCTTCACAATATATTAAGCCTTCTAAATGTTTAAAAAAATTATTTAAAAGATTCGTGATATAAGCCAACTTAGGTTAACTACTTAGGATTCAGCACATGGGGAAGATTTCGAATTTACATTTTGTTCGTGAGGATAGCACTCTCCTATGGGTTAGGTGCAATTGTTGCTTGCTATTGAATCTCAAGCAACGAATGGTTATAATTTTGAATCCACTCTTGCATATTTTAGATTTCGAAACGATTTTTAGTTTAATACAATCGTGGAGCTCGCAACAAGACGCTGGCTCGGTCCTAAATATCAATCGGTTAATCGACTTACAAGTACTCTTTTCTGGGGTTGAGAGTTAGCCATCGTTGTTTAGGAACAAGTTTGTATGGGTATAATAGAAAACATCCATGTGTTGCAACCAGGTAGAACAAACAAAGTTCATACAAATTTTTGTGCTGAAATCTGTTTGGGAAAGACCTCCCTCCCACGGCTGAGTGGATGAACCTGAAAATGGCAAGAGTTCAAACTTTATACGAATTTCAAATGTTTACATTGTCATTTTCATAGCCAGCCACTTCGCCGTGGTATCAATGCATTACACGGTAATGGGCTGCTGTATCAAGGAATGAGCATTAAGCTACAAGAAGTAATGCCCCCCGGAAATCTATTTTGATGATATGAATCTAATCTGTACAAATCTACTAAAATTTTGGTATTCGGATCCTACTGCTGAGAGAGAGATTCATGGATGCCGTACACCATGGAAGTGACATACATTACAAAGAAACTAATCTCATTTCTTTTGGAAGGTGACCATCAGAAAGAAAGCAGCTAAACGACTGAGTATCCCAAACAAAATGAGCATCACTAAACAAAGTTGCCAGTCATGGATATCATAGCCGTTTTCCATCAGTGAAGTACAGCGAGTTATCAACCATACACCAGAATACCTGTCAGCATTGATGTTTAGACAAAACAATCACAACAAAACCTTTTCAACAGAATCCATCCAAAGGGAAAGAAGAAACGCAGTTAAATAGCATTCATTATGCCTTGAGATTGAAACTATCGTTTCCTTAAGTCATCATGCAAACATCATCAGGCAAACATCATCGATTATTTCATACTAGCATTTTTGCTTGTCAAATGCAAGCTAAAACATGCTAAATCGACTGCATTCTTACAAACATGCTAAATAGACTCCAATATAATGGATAGAAAGGGAGAAAAAGAATATAAACTACCTTTCAGCATTTGCGATGACAAAGCCTTCGAGTGCCCACTTAGGGTAGCATAACTTTCCTAAATATTTGACAATTGGACTATCTTTATCTTGGTTTGCAATGAGGGTCAAAACTACAGGAAGAAGCACCGACCACTGCAAGAAGAGTAAGATAGGTAAGGAGGATCAATTTTTTTGTTGTCCCCAGAATCAACTCGATCAAATAATGAACACTTTATATGGAATCCAAAACAGAGTGTCTTATTACTTGACAAAAGTAATAATGTTGCAATCTTAATTTGCATGGCATGAGTTGAGTTTCGAGTATGTACCAATTGGGCAGGAGCAGGTTGAAGGTAGATGGCAAGTGCATATGCCATTCCAGTCACACAGTACACTAGACAAACTAAAACAACATAGTTATCTGTAAAAGTTGATCTCGGATTATTGAAGAAATAGAACATAGACAGGTAAACCAGTGGCTTGACGATTGTGTTGAAAAGGTCAAGTGTGTCTTTTGCGAGAAAATGCGCCAGACTGCTAATCCCTGATGCACTCTCTCTCCAGTACTGTAATTTGTCAAGGGAAAATGATCTCAGTGCTGCAATCTTGCATAGGAGGGCTGCAAAATAAGCAAAGAGCGTATGACATAAGACATATAATGGGATGAACTTCTAAATGAAAGTAATCAAGCATAGATTATGCAGTGTCTCAGTTTTTTCTAGGAGAAGTTTATACTTGTTATGGTAAATAATCAAGTGATCCAACCTATTTATAAAAAATATAACAGGACTATGATTTATGCAAGACACCACTTTCATTGGTGCTGCAATCAGCAGAAACCATACAAGCTATTTATTTCATTACTGGCAACTCACAAATAGCAATGACGGTGAAAGTATAGCCAAGGGAACCAAATGTTTCATCATTCACTTTAGCAAGAGTTCCTAAGCATGCTCCAGCAAGTAACAACATCAAGTAATCAGCTAATTGAATTTTAGCTTCTCGCAGTCGCTGCTTGCACACCCTGGAAAAGCAAGAAAAACCATGTACAGAGCAATTATTCTTATTTAATAAAAAAGAAACACAAATACAACACATACAGAAATCTCCAGTTGCAAACTAACAGCAATGTTACTATATGTTTTACATATGAGAATAAGACTAGATGAAATAAAAGCATGTTTTAGGTGATTTATTTATAATTACTTTTGTATAAGTGTTTAATTATAAATCATTTGTAGTGGTATTTAACTTTAATTAAAAACAAATGGTGTTTAACTGTTATCTACAAGAATGCTTTATCCTCTCACTGCATTATAGTTACTTGTAATTCTTAATCTTTATCTATATAGATATATAAGAAGTCATATGAAGAAACAAATTATACATGTATATTTGTTTAGAATGTATTGAAAAAGGAGCACTTACTGTTGGACTCCTTTGAAGATATTGAAATTCTAACACTTAAGGCTCACAATCATACTGAACTTGATTACAATTTAGAAGTGATAGAGCTTGCTTACTGATGCATAAAAAGTAGAACGATGTAATAATTTGAGTAATCTTTACCTTCCCAAGAAATACCTAAACTGCCGAGCTAAACCAGGAGTTCTTCGATTAGATAGATCCTTAGAACTTAAGAAGTTCTGCTGTGCGTGATCCCGCTGCGACTCCACGTTGGACTTCGTGTCCGGCAATAAATCTTCAGCAGGAGATTGTTCTCCAGCTTCATCACCAGGATTTTCTCCATGTGTTGAGCCGCTTGCAGATGTATCAGAATCACATAATTTCAGCAGGTCCGGAGGTACTGGATACCCATTATGAAGCATCCAACGGACAGGAAGTTGCTCGTAAGTCACACCTACTGGCTTCACCAGACCCTCAAGAATGTCAATGAAATGGTCGGGAGGATTAACACGATCTGGCACTGTGATCCCTATACCAGCGAAGTACTCTTCAACTTTCTTTACAGATCCATGATACGCAGTAAGCCCACCCTTGGCGAGAAGTATCAAATCATCAAACATCTTAAACAACGAATAGCTGATTCCACAAAAATGAAAATAAGTTTACTTATGATCGTAGGACCAAAAAAGCCAAAATAAAAGTAATATCAAATTAAGAAGAGTTAGAGATGGAGAGGGAGAGGAGGGTTTCCTCATGGAAAAAAAAAAAAAATAAGAGCCCATTAGAAGGGAGGGGAGTTTTCTATGATTTCGATATTTTTATGGGGAAGGAAAATCTTGAAGTCAGATTAAAAGTAATTGATGGTCCAAAAAGTAATTATGTTCATTTATCGATTATCATGAGAAATGGCATTCTTAAGTTTGGTGGTGGGCTGGCTGTACATACCTAGGTTGGTGAAGTACCATGCAGATGTTCACACCTTCAAGGGCTTCCCGCCGAAGTGATCGAAGAAGTAACTGAGAAGATGCACTGTCTAGCCCAGTGGTAGGCTCATCCAGGATCAATAAGGAAGGTTCCATAACCATTTCAAGCCCCACATTAACTCGTTTTCTTTGACCTCCAGAGATTCCTCTTTTCTCCACAGTTCCAACAAGCGAATCTCTCACTGCTTGTAGTCCCAAGGACTCAATAACTCTTTCTACCACAAGAACTTTATCAGGTTTTGGCATGTCAGCTGACAGTCTACATAGTCAAAGAATCCATCCATGAGGAAAGCCAATATTTAACATGAAATATTCAAAATTTTGGCTTTTACAGACCCAAGCGGCTGGTGGAAACTTAAATGTTTGTAAAGGGTAAAAGACAACAACGACTGATATTTATCACCATATTCCCTGATCCAACCATCATGAATGGGTATATGCCAAGTTAAGCTATCAAATATTCAAATATACTAAACACGTCATGATACTATTAGGAATTTGACGAATTGGAATTTTACAGTT